GGGGGGGGGGGGGGAATCCGGCAATATGAAAGCATGCCCTCACGTGTTCTTGTGGTCTCCTTTCCTGGGGAACTGGAGAAGTTCATTTCTACCCATTCATTCCATCCCTTCCCTACATCAGAATGGCTATTTCTAGTATAAATCAAATCCCAGTAGAACGGAGCTGGAAAGGAGAACTTTTAACGTAATTCTCCCAGGTGAGTTGTGAGATTCACCAGTTGAGTTCTGGCTCCTGAGACCTCCAGAAATAGGGCCAGGGCCCAACAGGTGTGCCTAAAATCCAGCTGTATGAATTTGGCACCAGCCCGATGTGTAAGCATCGCAACTGATCTTATTCTCAACCGGCAAGGCTGATGTCTCTGAAGATTCCAGGTTTGAAGAAACCCGCCAATGCCGGCCTTCTCGGTTATCAAGCCGTGGTTTGGATCGACGTTTCTCAACCTGGCAACTTTTAAGATGCGTAGATGTAGGCTGAAGCCGTCCAGAGGTTGAGAAACACCGTTTTAGAGGCACATCTGCTTTGGGATAGTTAGGAAAGTCTCAGTTCCTCTGGAATCAAGAGGACTAAACGTGCCAGATGATCAATTCTATTAATTCTTAGCCAGATGTAAGGGCTCCTAAGTCTTTCTCAACGGGCACCTATAGCTTTGAATTTGGAGGTGAGGAGGCTCACCCTGTTGGGTATATGGATACACCAACTAGGTTTGGGTGAATAAATATATAAACCGAGGTTTAAGTGTTTGTAGCTTTAAGCACCAAACTGCAATGTAATTAGTTAATTAAGGGTGCGGTTGCAAGCAGCAATAAAAGGCAGTAAGAGAAATGTAACAGTCCTGGTCCTGGCCCTTCCTGGTCTCACTGCTCTCTGCCTGCCTGCTGCTTAATCCTGTTTGAGACGTCTGCTTGTTACTGTTTGTTGGCTACTGTGCTGGATACCGTTTCTGCTGAACAAAAGGACTATTCCCTTGGTGAGCTGATATCCTGTGAATACTCAGCGTTGTCTTCGAGAGAAAGGTATCGGGAGGAGGAGATTTACAAGCAGATAAGGACATACTGACTAGTTAATGGACTAAGTTACTGGATGGATATATTTGTGTATGACATATGGACTGATTGACAATGCTTAAACCCTGAATGAATTAAACAACTATTTAAAACAACAAACAGTGTTTTTGTCTCCAGTGTGTGTATACTCTTGGGCCCAGCCTCTCTCATTTGGCTGCCTGGCTTGACTGCTGCTGCATACTCTGCTTGGGGGTTTGTCCCCAAACACTAACACACCCCAACCCACATCCACCTCCCCTACCCCAAGACCTTTCCCCAAAGTTCTCTTCCAGGTGAGATGCGTCAGGTTACCCTAGATGATTCCAGACCTCAAGTACCTCAAAGCTTCCCTAGCGCCGTTGTTTTTTTTTTCTCCTTTCGATACCGCAACCTTTCAACATCGTTTTTTTTTTTTTTAATACTCCATCCGAAAAACTTCCTCTTTGTTTCCCCAAAGACCGGATACCTTTTCAGCACAATGGGCACGGCAACGGCTGGGTTTTTCCGGAGTCCGTCGATGATGTCGGCAGCTTTGTCCGCGTATATCCTCTGGAGAGCTTTGCGGTGGATGACTTCGGAGGAGCCCCCCAAGGTGTTGTCCAGGCGGAATTTGGCTTGCTCTTCCGCCGATAAGCGGGAGAGCTTCTTCTGTATCGTTTCCAAGACTCGGATGGTGGCTAGGTTGGTCTCCAAGACCACATCCAGCTGGAAAAGGAGAAGCTCATTCAAGCTAGGCTAAGGAAGCGAGCGCATAATGCGAGTTGACATCTGAATTGGGACCCACAGGCGATTTGCATCCTTTCAGAGAGAGTCCTTGAGGCCACTTGGAGGTTCCTCGGTGTCCTCAGGCCCACCTGAGGGGTGCAAATGGGTGGAGCACAGCTCCACAACAGTCCTTCCAGCAGTTCCAAGGAGGCTTCACACCCATTTGCACCCCTCAGGTGGCCCTGAGGACACCGAGAAACTTCCAAGTGGCCTCAAGGGTTCTCTCTAAAAAGGATGCAAATGACCAGCTGTCTGCAAGGAGTATAGATCCTTCCATTCCCCACCATCCAGTCCGAGCTGAAGAAGCTTCTTGGATGAGAAGAGAAAGGCTTTCAAAGACAAACAAAGGAAGTCCAGTTGTCTCTTGGGGGAAAAAGCACCTTTGGGACAACCATCACCTGGATGAGGAAGCATCTCCACAGACATCTGAATTGGGAAATCCCACAGCATGGCTAGAAAGGCTGAATTCTCAACTTCCCAGGTGGGATTTACACAGGTGGATCTACAAACTTTTCATTTAGCGACTGTTCTAAGTTACAACACCACTGGAAAAAGCGCCTTATGACCCCTTTTCACACTTACGGCCATGGTCACAGGATCAAAATTTAGACGCTAAGCAACTGGCCCCGTATTTACGAAGGCTGCAGGTGTCCCGGGGCCACGCGATTTCCTTTTGCGACCTCCTGACAAAGCCAGCTCAATGAGGGGGAAGCCGGATTCGCTGAACAGCCGCGTGACTGACTTAACAGCGGTGATTCACTTAGCAACTACGGCAAGAAAAGCCACCCAACAGGGCAAAGTTCACTTCACTGTTTCACTTAGCAACGGAAATGCCAAGGACTTCTTGTGGTTGGGAAAGACTGTCAAATTGGGGAAGGCTGCCTTGAGGCCGATTCTTCCAGTCGTGTGACACTTCCATCATTTGCCACCTGAGCAAAGTTCCTGATTTTTGCCTCGGGGGAAATTTTAAGGCCTGTCTTGACCTACCTCGAACCGTTCGTCCTCACATCGGTAGATGTGTTCTTCGTACTGAGTTTTCTTCGAGCTCACAAACGTAGAATCTTCGGACCAGGAAGGGAAGGAGACCCAGGTATCGTTCAAAACCTGAGCAGCGGGGAAAGGGAGGAAGGAAGGAAGGAGAGAGAGAGGAAGAAAGGAAAGAGAGAGAAAGGAAGGAAGGGAAAGAAGGAAGAAAGAAAAGAAGGAAAGAGAGAGAGAGGAAGGAAGGAAGTGAAAGAAGAAAGGAAGGAAGGAGAGAGGAAGAAAGGAAAGAGAGAGAAAGGAAGGAAGGGAAAGAAGAAAGAAAGAAAGGAAGGAAAGAGAGAGGAAGGAAGGAAAGGAGGAGAGAGAAAGGAAGGAAAAGAAGGAAGAAAGAAAGGAAGGAAGGAGAGAGAGGAAGGAAGGAAGGGAAAGAAGAAAGGAAGGAAAGAAGGAGGGAAAGAGGAAGGAAGGAAGAAAAGAAGGAAGTTACTGCCAATAAGATAAAACGTTATTCTAGCAGCTATGGGAAAAAAGGCATATTGGACTGCCAAGCGGATACTGCTGGTCCGGTCACAAGAATAGTTTGTCACAAGAGACTGGTCAGCTGTCCAAGGGTGCCCCCTTGTGGGTGGAAAAGGGACTCATGCTGAGATACCACAGGAATACTACGAACTTAGAACAACTTTATTGTCCCTTTCAATGTACACGTAGTAGCATACATTATTTTAGGAAGGGCACCCCATAAAGGCCCAGGCTTTAAAAATGGAGATTTGACATTCCCCGCTGGCTTCCCACAAAGCCAGTGGGGAAGACGGCAGGAAATCAGAAGTGGCAGTCAGGTGAGGTCCTTGCGTTAAGTCCACACAACCAGGGCTGCTGTATCTTCTAGGCTAAACTGCATGGTCCAATGAGGTTGCTCTTTGGGACGGTGTGGCTTAGTTAAAGCAATTCTAGTCCCCAGCTACTATCCTAAGCCAAAGATTACCTATAATTATTGAGGGTTGGGTGAGGGGCTAATGGGAGACTCTGGAGGCCCTGAGACTCTTGCTAGGTTTCGGGAGCGTCCACCTCCTGAAGGGGCAGAAGATGGCCAGCTTACCTCCTTGCACAACGGCGTCCGACCTGTGCATTTGGGCTGCTGGTAACTTTTGGGCAAGGCTCGGTAACTGGAGCCCAGCCGTTTGCAAGTGGCGTAGTCTATCTCCATCGCTATCCCCTCGGTCGCTCGCTCCTTTGGGAAGCTCTCCAGGTGTGAGGATTCTTTGTAACCCAGGAAGTTTTTAAACCAAGTGAACAACTCCGGGAATTTTCTGAAAAGGATGAAACCAAAATCAACAAAAACCAGAACACAACTACATGAGCAACGCTGCTGCGGCAGAGATATTTTTTTCACACTTCTTAGCAAGGTTTAAAGGTTTAATCATCCGCTAATCATCTCAGACGGGGGAAAAGATCGACTGCTGCTTATTTAAAACTTTCCCCCTGCACCTTTTGTGGCGAAATTCGCTATGCTGGTACCACAGGGCCAAGAGACTTTGCCAGTAATTGAGGCAGGTGTATCTCTGTACTCCTTGAACTCAGAGCTGGTTAGCAGATGGAACACACCACGATGCTCCCTCCCTCCCTGTTAATTGACGTAGTATTTCATTCATTAAATTTACTTCCTCCACAGTTTCCCTAACCGAGCAACTTTAGGAAGCTTATTTTCAACTCTTCGACGTTACGTCGTCTGTCCCACAAGGGCTCAGTTGCTTAAGTCTGCTTACCCCAGAAATGGAGAAACCAGCTGTACAAGCTCGGCTCGGGATATGACCTCCTGATTGAAAATGACGAGGCACCGGAGGAAATTTTCGTAGGCCTCCGTGCTGCGCAGTGCTTTGCGGACCTGAAAGGTGGAACGGGAAGAGGAAAAAGGAGGACGAGAAAGTTGGAAAAGAGAAGAGGGGGGCTCTCCTGCAAAGGAACCATTTAATCCTCTTCCATTAGCACGATTCTAAGCTCATCGATCAACAGCCACGACATAAGAGGGAGCTGGGAAATGGGAATATTTATTCCAGGGTGAGGAGCAATGCCCCAGGACCCAAACTATAATTCCTGGTGGACCTCAGGTGATCCCCCTACAAGCAGTATCCGTTGAGCGGCAGACAAACTGTCATATAGAAACAATAAACTCAACTTTCTCTCTTACGAATGATCCCCAAGTTACAACAACCGAGACCAGAATTTCCTTTGCTAAGCCGGGCAGTTGTTAAGTGAAGTCACGCCCAACGTTGTGACCTCTTTTGCCACGATCATGAATCTGGCTTCCCCTATTAAGGCTCGTTGGAAGCCGGCTGAGAAGGTGGCAAAGGGTGACCCCCGGGAAACTGCAAACCAGGGCGAAGGCACACCGGCTGCCGCATACCCCAATTTTGATCCTGTGATTGTGAGGATGAGGCAACCTGGGAAGGGGCAAGGGTCTGGTTGCAAGTCCCTTTCTTCCAATCCTCTTGTAACTTGGAACAGTTGCTAAGGTTGTACGTTGAGGGTGCCTGTGTTGTGCCGTTGCTATTCCCCATTAACGCGGAATAATGCTGGGGATAAAATGGACTTTGTTTATCACCTCTCCTACCTTGTCAAAGAACAGCGACTCCGTCCCATGTTTGCCAGCTTCTGCGAAGGACGGGTCCTTCAAATTGAGGAGCTTTGGTTTCTTCTGCGGAGAGGAAGCACAGACACACACACACACACAAATAAATAAATAAGCGATTATCTACCGTGACACCATTTTAAATTGGCCGAGCCAGCATGCAGTTAAACAACAGGAGAGGAATTGTGGCATGGTATCGATACTGTGATAGGACAAGCATTAATCCAACTTTGGCAACTTTACGACTCGTGAACTTCAACTCCCAGAATCCTATGCTGGCTGAGGAATTCTGGGAGTTCAAGTCCACAAGTTGTAATAATTGCCAAGGTTGAAGACTCCCGAATTAAGGGACTCCGAAGCAAACACAACGTACGAAACAACAGAGGTTATAGTTCTCGGCACCCTTTCTTTAGTTATGGAACAATTAAGCAATCGATTCAAAATTAGATTATTACTCTAGGCAGTCTGAACATGGAACTAGTAAGAAACGGTTGTTGTAGTTCAGTAGTACCCTAGTTGGCTCAGGGTTCTACTTTTCCTTTTTCCAGGGGCCGGGCCAGACCAGACCTGAAGTATTAGCAATCAAATTTCTCTTGTGCCTCACATAGTGCAGTCTGGCCCACTGAAATGTTTAACTCAGTAACATCGATAAAACGTGAAAGTGCAGTAGAAAATACCGCTTTTATAGGATTAGAGATCCCTTGGGTGTTCTTAACTAGTTCCTAAAATTAAAGTGCTATATTATTATTGGGAAAAATCAGGATGTAGTACATTTGCTAAGGGGTTATATTCAAGTAGTGTGCAACTAGACAGCCTACTACAAAGCAGAGACATCCCCCTGCCAAGCAAAAGGCGTAGAGTGAAGGCAATGGTTTTCCCAGTGGCAATGTATGGCTGTGAAAGTTGGACCCTAAGAAAGGACCCAAAGAATGGAGGCCTTTGAACTCTGGGGCTGGAGGAGACTCCTTGGACTGCAAGGCCATCCAACCGGTCAGTCCTAGAGGAGATCCGCCCTGACTGCTCTTGAGAAGGCCAGAGCCTGAAGATGAAACTCAAAGACTTTGGCCACCTCATGAGAAGGAAGGACTCCCTGGAGAAGAGCCGAATGCTGAGAACGATTGAGGGCAAAAGAAGAAGAAGGAGGGGACTGCAGAGAAGGAGGTGGCTGGATGGAGTCGCTGAAGAGTCGGCGTGAGCTTGAATGGACTCTGGAAGATGGTAGAGGACAGGAAGGCCTGGAGGAACGTTGTCCATGGGGTTGCAATGGGTTGGACACGACTTGGCAACTAACAACAACAACGCTGTGCAATTACCACCAACTGTGGCCTTGAGATGAAAGGGGTAAGGGGGGCGTAATCTTACCTTCACTGGCGGGGTGACTCCCGAGGTGGCGTGCCTCCGGATTTGACAGCCGTTCTGGTTGGGCCTCTGCTGCTTGCTGTTCAGCTGGGGCTTCTTGATGGTCCCTCCGTGGTCGTTTCTCACCGACTCCACTTTCTCCGCAGTGGTCTTGCTCAGAAGCTGATCGGAAAGAACCACAAGTCAGTCCACCGAGGCTCTCCACCACCCCGTGGCTGAGGACAGGCAAAAATGCTTCGCGAGAACCAGCCGGTTAAGAGGCGGCGAAACGCAGGCCGTCCGGAGGTCAAAGCGATTTTTGACCCTGAGGTCCAGACAGGAGTCCTTGAGTTACGACTGTAAAAGGAGCTGGCCCATGCCAGTTTTGTAACCGTGGGTCCAGGTTACTTGAGGGATCAAGTCTCACCCCACTGGAATTGCCAGAGGAGACGTGCTATGGGTCCCACCAGCTCGATTATTCCAGCTGGGGCGGTCCAGGAGGTGGGGGGGGGCTCCTCTGCTGTGCCCCCCCCCCCATGTGAGGTTGGCCCCAACCCTCCTGTCCTTTTGCAAGGCCTAAAGACCTGGACCTTCCAGTTGGCCCCATGGGGAAGCAGCGCAATGCAGCTGGTGGATTGAGTCATCACAGATCCCTTGTGTCTTCGGCTTTGTGCTTCTCAGAGTGAGAAAATAAATAAATAAATATATATATATAGGGATCTTTGGTTATTCGGGTTTTCTCCCGCGTAAGACCTCTCCCTCTTACGCAGGAGAAAACCCGAATAACCAAAGATCCACATACAAATACCTGCGAGAACCTCAGAAAACAAATATATATATGATGAACACAATACAGAAGCCTGATGATGGCAGATGAGATTCTGCCAAAACGTCGCTACAACTTTAAAAGCACAACTACAATGACATGGGAAAATACCCGAACAAAGCTGAATGCCATACATGTAAGTACCCGCGAAAACTTAAGAAAACACACACACACACATATATGTATGTATGTATGTATATGTGTATGTATATGGACATATATAAAATTATGACCGTAAGTTGCCCAGTTCCCTTTTGGTAAGATGAGCACTGACAAATTTTACCAATATAATAAAGCATTAATAAAGGAGAATATTTGTAGCTCAGGGTTGACAGGAGGGGTCCGTGGTGCTCTCTGTTCTTGTTTGTTTCCTTGCAAGCATTTCATGACCCAAACTAGGTAACCTCCTCAGTGCTAACACCACCAGTACCGACGTTGTTGTACCTAGTTGGGTCATGAAACGCTCGCAAGGAAACAAGCGAGCACAGAGAGCACCATGGACTCCTACTAGTAATCATAATAAAATTAAATAAAACTCGTCATGGTCCAAATCGGGTGACTCATGTGACCGGCCCAATTTTACGATCTCTTTTTTTTTTTTTTGCAGCGGTCGCTAAACAAACACCTCAGCTGTTAAATGAACCCCTGGTTCACTCTGGTGGTGGCTTTTTTGCCGAAAACCCGGAAGTAAAGGTGAGGCGGCGAATTCGAAGTCACTCACAACGGAGCTATTGGCATCGGGCAAGAACTGCCCGAATTCGGAGAGGAGGTCCTCCTGGTTCTTGAAGAGACGTGCCACCTGGGCGTAGACTTCCTGTTCGGTCAACGCTGGGGTGTAGTTCCCGCCGGCTTCCTTGGCATTGCGCTGCTCTTTCTGTCAGAGGAGAGAGAGAGGAGAAGGTTCAAGAAGGCGACCACGACGACGGAGAAGAAGGAAAAAAAAAAACAACCGCAATGGCAACTTTGAGCAGCTGCCCTTGCCCATTTTTGCTCCGCCTCAAAAAAAGTAAATAAATTAAAAAATGGGATTTATTTTATCAATAGATAAAAAAATATGGAAATGAAATATTTTAGATAATTTTTACAATATAAGGGCAATAGAACTATAGAGACTATAACATAAGGATGTATTATTATCAGATGGATTTATGATGAGGTAATGAATGTTATCATATAAATTAATCTGAAATGTTGAATATCTCGCATAAAATGATTATATAGTCAAATAAATGATTTAACAATGATAATACACACCCACACACCACACACACACACACACACACACACACGATGGATAATATGAGAATGTATACAAACTATAAGTCAGGACTATAGAGATGAAGCACAAAAGACTTGCAACTAACCGGCACACTGTATGCAACTGGAAGATGGTTTTCTGTTTTCTGTTTTGTTTGTGTATGTTTGTTTAAAAATAAAAAACAAAACAATCTTTTTTTAAAACAAACAAATAAATAAATAAAAACGGACACCCAGCCGGAGATTTGAAAAGAAGAGTAGAAAGGGACGGCCTGAAAGAGGCACTGGAGGCACCAATAAAGAAGAATAGGTGTAGCTCGGGGTTGAAATGTGGGGTCTCTCTTGGTGCTCTCTTTCACTAGTATTGATGGGTGTTGCCTAGTTGGGTCATGAAACGTCTGCAAGAAAAGAAGCCAAGTTCAGAGAGCACCAAGGAGCCCCTCAGGCCAACCCTGAGCTACAAATACGCTCCTTTACTCGATACCCCGTACGGGTGTCGAACGCTTCAGGCAAGCACGCCAATGGCAGGCTAGCATGGACGATGTTACCTAGTAAGGGTCATGAAACGTCTGCAAGGAAACAAACCAAGGTTAGAGAGCGCCAAGGAACACGGATTCCAGGCCCCAAAATGGTCACCAAGGATCACGTCTCCCTAGCTCTTCCTGCGTCAATTTCAGGTTTTCACACTTAGTGACTGGCAGCGGAGTTGGACAATAGTGAAAAGGTCGGGGAGGAACCTGGGCCATTCCTGGAGGATGAGGAAGGCTTGGACGAAGGCTCTGCATTGGAGGCAGAGATGGGGCCAGAGCAGGCTGGCAGTCACCAGCTGCCTTCGGGCTCGGACAGCAGCGAGGCCGGGGAGCTTCTGGAACCGATTCCCCGCCTGCGCATGCACTGAGTTGCCAAAAGGAAGGCATAAATTAAGAACTCAGGGTCAACGTGGGAGTAAGGCCACAGGTGGGTGATGAATGGCCCCTCCCATCGGGATTAAAGGAGGAGCAAAAGGGGAGGAGCCTTTTGCAGGAAACAACTGGCTTGTTCGGTCGTTCCTTCATTCCAGCCTTGTGAAGATTTGCCTGTATAACCCAGCCTTCCCTGTCAACAACGAGGGTGGAATTTACCGGGCAGCGTTCCAGGATTGATAAACGTCTGAGCCAATTAGTATAGCTTTGCAAGACTGTTTGCCAAGCCGTGGGCCGACTGTGAGTGAAATAAATTCACATTAATGTAATAAAAGAGGTTTTTGCCAGGGTTCAGAATTGACATTATTGCTTTCGACAGAATAGCCTCTTGCTACAAACCCAGAGAGGCAAAGGCCGCAACGATTTTAACGCCTGCAGGCCTGATCTTCTGTCCCAACACCCATCGACAAAACAAAATCTTCGCCCCCCCCCAATCCTCCTTCTGCCCCAAGTCCCCAAAGTCACAGCAGAGCCAACCTCCGAAGGAAGGGCTGGCCGGCCGACTCACCTGATAGGTGTGGAGAATCTCCAAAAAAGCCTTGTAAATGTCCGGCTGCCCTTGAAAACGGTTCTTGATCTTGTTGACGTAATTGATGGCATGGTTGAACTCCACGGGCTGATTGTTCTGAAGGGACGGGGTGGCCCCCAGGGAGATTGTCACGGGCGTGTGGGGCTGGACCGGCGGAGAACGAGGGGAGGTGTAGGGGACCGGAGGAGTTTGCTGGCTGGTGGGCGTATGGGCCTGTAGCTGGGAGGGCTGAAAGGAGCAGAGAGAAAGGATTAGGGATGGCTTCAGGCCAGAGGGGGTCTAGTCCTCGCGTTACGACCGAGGAAGGCTCACTATCCGTTCAAAGTTTCAAAGATACAAAAAAAAAAAATGCCTTAGGACAGGTCCTCATACTTAAGATCAGTGGGCAGAGTCAGCCGGCAACGCTGCATTCTAACCATTGCGCCATTACGGAAGGAAGGAAGGAAGGAAGGAAGGAAGGAAGGAAGGAAGGAAGGAA